CATATTATCTTTTGATTCACCTTGTGAACTATTTCAAAAGACAATAAAAGATGATTATGCACTCTTGAAAAACAAGATCTGTCCACTAAATGGATGGTCTAGAGTCAATGTAGGTGCAGATCTTCAAAGTATTTTTGAGCTCCAGATTAACTCTCTTGTTTTCTAGATTGATATTAGAGATGAATATACATGACTTGGAAGTTTTTTGTTTTTTTTTTCTGTTTTTGAAATCAGTTACTATGAAGATGACTTGGAAGTTTTGGGGTGAAACAAATTCTCATGGTGTTTCTAAAAACTTACACTTTTGCAAATTAAACTTTCAAGATGGAGAGATTTTGAGGAGACATTCTTGATGAGGGTCTCAGCATTTATAACAATAGTGCTATTTTATACTTGGAATGTCAAGGGCTTGTTTGAAGCCACCTCTTCCACCAATTTCAGAAGCTGCAGCTTCCATGGGGTAGCATGGAAGCTGTACTTCATAAATTTATATCATGATTTCCAAAACAATGTAATGCTTTTCATTTAACAAATACGGGAAGTGCAACAGAAGTGGAAGCTGAGACTTCTGCAAGCCACGGTTTCCACTAATCAAACTCGCCCTAAATTAACATTCTGGTTTTGGATTTGACTTTGGATCTATAATATGACTATTTGGTCTTATGTCCACAATATGATTATTTGGTCCTAAAAAAAAAATAAAATCAAGTGAGTCATGTCATGATCCTTATTATTCATTTAAGATCCTTCTGTAAACATTCCTATCAGGTTGGTTTGGGTGCTTTCTTCCTCCTAACCCAGGAACTCCCTATTAGCTTACATGGGGTTGTCCAATTGACCTTCTTGAATCCCATCGCTTTAAGTTTATGAAGTGATTAGATGGTCCACACCGACCACATACATGGATGGTCTAGCCCCCCGACCACATGGTTAAGGTTTTTTTTTTTTTGTACGGTTAATATCGAAGGGGTTTGAAACCTCTTGTAATATTAATCAATTGGTCAAAAGATAACAAATTACACGTGGTAGTATGCTTTTAAGTTTTTATATCAATCAGGTACTTCCTAGACAATATGAAAAATTCTCAATTTACCCTCTTCACTGTTGGGATGCCAAATATTTGGCATTCTTTTATTCCCAAACAAACTCCTTGGACGGGTAATTTTCTTAAGTGGGGGATGGGTTCAATTGCTAGGTACCTGAAACCTCTTAGAAATCTTATGTGAGCAGAATTCTCACACTTACCAGAATGAGGTTGGGATTGGGGTCGAGGTAGTACCATTTGTATCCCATTTAAGGTCTAAGCTTCCATTGTCACCTAACACATTAAAAAAAAAAGGGTAGGGGCTCGTCATCTCTACTGAATTACCAAAAAAAAAGTATCACAACATTCAAGAAATTTTATTTTAGATTTTGTATCCAATAAATAGTTAATCCCCAATCGTCTGATTTCACATCCAATAGTCAATAATGATTGCGACCTCTTTGTATAAAAAAATAAATAGTTTCTATGAGACCATTTATTTTTGGTACAATGAGGTCACAATTTTTTCTTGTTATTAGAAGTGTTACAATATTTAAAAAACTTTATTTTGAACTTTGTGTCTAATTATGGCTAATCCTCAACCACCGGATTTTACATCCAATGGTCAATAATGATGGTATCTTTCAATCAACGACACACGTGTTGGTAACCATGTAAAACTATCTCCGACTATTCTCCAATAACAACGTAAGGCCATCACCTTCACCTTATCCTTCCACACAATGTTAACGAAACAAGGGGCATATTCTCACCACCTTCTCCTTCTCCATCGTCAAAATTTACTAAATTTTTCTATGTCGAGGTAGCACAATATTCCCATGATGGTCAAGAATTATATACAATGATACAGCTTTGGGAAAGTCTCAGGGGTGGCAACGGGTCGGTCCCAGTCCAGCTCGAACAAGGACCCAGACCTGGGTGGACCCGGACATGGTGTGGGACCTGGACCCAAGCTTAGACCTGAATCTGAACCCGACCAAACCCAAATGGAAATGGTTCGGGTCCAAGATATGAATCTATACCCGAATAGTGTTCAGGTCCACATTTTGGACCCAAACCTAACCCATTGGGTCCACGTTTTTTACCAATATCTAGACCCGGATCGAGACTACCCCGCTGGTCTCAGGTCAGGTCTTGGTCCATTGTCACCCCTAGAAAGTTTGTTGTCCACCCATTGGGTCCACGTTTTTTACCGATATCTAGACCTGGATCGAGACTACCCCTCAGGTCCCAGGTCAGGTCTTGGTCCATTGCCACCCCTAGAAAGTTTGTTGTCCACTTCTTCCTAGAGTTCAGATTAGATAGGGCCATATCCCAAAGTTAAAATCTAATTTTATTTTTAAATTTTTATTAAATATTATAGTTATGTGAAATTTAGAGTGTAAATTATTTTTATATAGAGAATCAAATAAATAATAATAATAAAATATTTTGAATAAAAAATGTCAAAATAATATTTTATTGAAAACATTTTTTATCTTTATTTATTTCCCCTTATAAAGTTAATCTACATCCTAAATCTTAGATAAATATAATAATAAAAAAAAAAACAAAGCTATTTTGTAGCCCTTGGATGTGGCTTAGTTCAATTTGAACTATTCCTTGACTTTTTCTTCACCCAAATGTCATATACTCTTCCACTCATATTATGTAAAACCAGATGCTAGGGGCGGGGCGTGCAAGTTTTATGTGAAAATTCTTAAATGAACTTTTTCATCTGGGTGTGGTTTACATATGGTCGAGGCCCTAACAATCAAAGTAAGGTGCACCTTCAAATAGTGTCGAAAGATGTTTTAAAATTAGAAATCTTTGTGATGGCCAAAAAAAACTTATTTTCACATCTAATTATAAAAATTAAAGCTTTAAAAATAGTGTCCTTTGAGCATATCTATGAGACTTAAAAACCTTGAAAATTGATTGTCCAAAAAACACATTATAAAATGTACTATTTTCAAGAATTGAAATCAATTTTTTTCGCACGTCCATATATCTTTAGGTCAAAAGGATCGATTTAAGGATTTTGGGTATCAAAACAACTTTTTCTAATAAATTTTTGAGGTTTGTATGAGGTTGAGGCTTTAAAGTAAGGCTGACCCCTAAATAGTGTGGAAATATGATTTTTTAAGCAGAAACAATCTTTGTGATGGCCTAAAATTGTATTTTATCTCTTAATTATAAAATTTAAAGCTTAAAAAATAGTGTGGATCAAGTAGATCTATAAAAGCTTGAAAATATTGAACATTAATGGCTAAGATAATGCATTACAAGAAGCATTATTTCCCAAACTTGAAATCCTTTTTTTTTTCTACGTCTACACATCTCGTGGTCGAGATAATCAATTCGAGGGTTTTTTAATGTCGAAATAATGAATTTTTTAGGTACACTTTAATTTGATTGTTAAGGGCCTCAACTTTATATAAACTTTTTCCATTTGTGGCCTTGAGTATAGAACTATAATGACTGGCAAATTTGTTTTTTGCCCTAACAATAGAATTAGAAGCTCCAAAAGTAATACAAATATGTAAACATTCGAAATAGATAGCCCAGAAAACATAGAATGTTATAAAATAAACCATTTTTTGGGGCATGAAAACCATTTCTTCTAAATCCAGTTTTATCAAAATCGTAATGATCAATCTGTAAGTTTTTTTTTTTACACAAATTTTGTACGTTCTGAATGTGCATGAAGCTGTGGCCCTACTAAATTTTTTCACCTCAACTAATTTTGAAGCCCGCATAAAATCTCCATAAAAATTAGAACATTTTTGGGAAATTATCATAAATATACCTTAATTTTTCATAAATTATAAAAAAACCTAAATTTTCGTAAATCTCGTCCATACCCTTTTTTCTCAGTTTTGGCATTTAAAATACTTCAAGTTATCACAGTTTAAATGCCGTATAAAATGGGGTAGTCATTACAGTACTTAAAGTACCGTAACACTAGGGCTTCACAATAATATGACTACTGTGAATATTATTTTGGTTCAAAAAAGGCCAAAAAAAAAGGTCTAGATGAAGTTTATAAAAGTTGAGGGTTTTTTTTCAAATTGAGAGAAAATAAAAGCATATTTATAATAATTTCCCAAAATTTTTATATAAGGGTGATGCCCTAAACAATAAAATCAAGGCCCACCTCAAAAATTCTTTAGAAGATGTTATTTTGATGCCCAAAAATCTGAACATGAGAAAAATTGATTGTCTTGAAAATAATGCATCATTTAATGCACAAGAATTCATAGATATGTTCAATCTACACTATTTTTTAAGCTTTATTTGTATAATTAGAGACATAAATTTTCAAGCTATTACAAAGATTTACCATGGGCAACTTACTTTGATTCTTTAGGGCCTCAGCCTTTTACAAATTGCACCCATAAAAATTTGACCTTCGAATCTCGACACAGTTTTTCTTGATGCATGTTAATATGTTCTAAATTTAGTCAAGAATTTCTTAAAAATAAGAATTAAACTTTATGTTAGAGCAACACTTCCCTAGACTAAAGAGTTAATACTAGGTCGATCTTGAAAGGAGGCTTCTACTACAAGCTTTTAGAGATACAAATGAGGCTTGTATGGCAAAAGCTTGAATGCCATAATTTAACAAAAAAAAAAAAGCTCAACTCAAAACTATAATTGCTGATTTAAAAAGAAGAGGACACGGTTTCTGTGAGTCCATATAGAAATGAGTCATCCCTTAAAAATCTATTTTTGGGATGGATTTTTTAACTTAATTTTTAAAGACATGTAATCTCTAACATAGAGATCATGTATATGAAAAATACATAAAATTTGAAAATTAAAAGTAATAATTCTGTTAGAAAAACATTTGGACCGGTACAAATTCCAGACTGTGATCCGCTTACTTGTACCCAGTTTCTTTTTCTCTCGAACCCCAAGCATTCCTTGAGCCCTACCCATCCCCTTCACCAAATGGAAACCCCAGATATTTTTCATGACTCCTTTTCTTCTCTCCCTATCCTGACTGCAAAAGCAGAGCTTTGAGCCCTAGAAACCTTTCTAGGGTCCGCTCGTGCTTGCATTCCGTTATCGATTTTGTCGCAATTGCTCTGAGCCACAGGTATTCACTAAACGCTCTCCTTTTTATGTGAAATTTACTTGAATTTATGTTTCAAATGGAAATGATCAGGCCCACTAAATTTTCTCTTTTAAAAATATGTGATTTCTGTGTAATTTTGGTGTAATTGGTTCTAGTAACCATTTCTTGCAAACTTCTTGTTACTATGATCAGTAAGAGGAATTGATAAATTTTTATTTTTTAATATTTGTTTTCTGATCATTTTCACTGTACAAACTGTTTTTCTCTGGTTAAATTTGAAGATGAGGTGGTGTATCAGTGGCAATTGGGTGATTTAGGGCAGTGTAGAACATGAAAACATTGAGTAATCTGTTCTTCAATAATGAGCTGCATTGTAAAGTAAAAAATAGATCCTTACTTGTGTTTGATCTTGAAAACATTGAGTAATCTGTTCTTCCATGCATGTGGAGGCTACAATTGTATTTCATGGCTACTACTATTGACATGGTTCTGTTGCATAGCTTGTGCATCATCTATTCAGTATTGTAGTTTATGTCAAGCATCAGGAGATGTAATAATAAGTCATAAAAGACTATTTGACTACACATTTTTGCAAAGGGATGGTTTATTTGGGAAATTATCAGATATACTTTAATTTAAGTTTAATCGGAAAAAAACTCCAAACTTTCGTTTATCTCATCTACACCCTTTTTTCTTAGTTTTGTTTTTTCTGTTTTTTTGTTTTTTTTGTTTTTTCTTCCTTGACGGTAGTTGTATTATTTTAAGTACCGTAATACTAAGTATTTTTTATTGTACTTTAAGTACCGTAAACTTACACTGACCCTTATACGACGTTTTAAGTACCGTAAAATTAACTCATGTTATACGGCAAACCCTTTTTATATTTATGTATTTCATCTCTAATTTCTTCTATGTTGATTTATTCTTTCTCTCTGTTTATATTGATATATTTCATCTCTAATTCTTTTTATATTTATCTATTTTTTCTTTCTTTAATTCATTTTCATATTTATCTCTTTTTTTTCTCTCTCATTCTTTTTTATCTCTTCGTTATCTCTCTCTACAATCTTACTCTACCAGCCCATTTGGATACGGCCAAATATCCCAATTAGGGAGAGAAAAGATTTAGAAAGAGAAAGAAGAGATAAATATTAAAAAAATGAAAGAGAGAAATATAAAAAAAAATAGAGTTGAAAGAGATAAATTTAATAAGTAGAAAGGGTTTTACGGCTTTTTAAGTGCAGTATAAAATGGGTTAGTTTTTATGGTACTTAAAATAAAGTAAAATTGGTTTTAGTTTTTATGGTACTTAAAGTATCGTGAAGCCAAGTACCGTAATTGGCTTCACGGTAATGCTAATTGAAGTTACCGTATAAAATGATACATATTAAAGTATTACGATATTTTAATTACCGTAATACTCCTTCAATTGATTACGGTATTTAAATTACTGTAATGTTTTTTACGGTAAAAAGACTAACATGAAGGTTATTTTTGTCAAAAAAAAACTGAAAATTGTGAGAAAAGATGTAGGTGAGGTTTTGAAAAATTGAGGGGTTTTTTTTTTATTATACTAAAATATAGGTATATTAGCGATGATTTTTCTTTATTTTAAAATGAGCAGTCGTCCCATATATTCTAAAATGTGTAGTTATAAAAGTGTCATTGAATAGATACGAAGTTCCAAAAAAAATTATCGGACTTTGTGACTCACCCCAAGCCATCCAATTTGAAATCTAATAAATATGAATGATTATGAACTCCATGTACAAAAGATAAATACTCTCTTTGACCATCCCTTTTGCAAAAGAGTCGGTAATACTTAATAAATAGAATAAAATTTGCATATATGATTGAACTTCGAAAGAAAACATTCTTGGACCACAGACTTTGAAACATTATTGAAGGCATCTTTGTTTGGGAGAGAGAAAGAGCACGACAGACTCCTTATACATTTGATCTAAACCGCTCATTTTGTTAGAGTTATTGAAGATTAGGAGTGCCTTAAATATCTCCTTCACATATGACATATATCAACCTCGTATGATAATAAATGAACGAACAATTCATACATGCTTATTCACAACTCTCTAAAGGGCCGAACACTCTAGGATCGATCAAACATATGTACCCAAAATTTTCTAAATATTCCAACAGGTTATCAATCACAAGTACCCAAAATTTATAAAACATTCCAGCATATTACCAAATACTGTTACTAATAATTCTAGAAAGATAACATTCCACTTCCTAAAAAAAGAACTTCCAAATTCCAGAGAAAGGCTACCTTCCAACAGTCAAGGTGATGATTTTCGACATTTTTAGTGAGTAATTGAAATTTATTTTGACATTATTAATTAATATGAGGAGAGGGGAGGAGGACATTTTAGTCATTTTTATTAGAAAGTATATAGACTTTGGGTTTTAGGTTAGAGATTCAAAACCACGTACAATGGCCATGTAAGAAATAAAAATGGTTTCTATGTCCAAAATAACATGAAAAAGGCTAATTCCTTCTTTAACACCTGGTTCATTAACTTATTCCAGACTCCATCCATTTGCCCTTGGATTTAAAGTTTTATTTTTTTGAAACAAAACGCAGGTCGAGGGTTTACTTCTCCATCATTAATGGCTTCTACTCTTCCATGGCAATGGGTCCTCGAAAGCCTAGCTGAAGTTCAAGAAGTTGGAACTCCAATTCTTAGAGGTATTAATTTTTTTAATTTATTGGATTTTCATCTTCTTATTTTGAATTCTCCTACTTTTTTTCTCCCTTTTTCTCCTTCAATTTTCCATTATTATTTATTTATTTATTTATTTATTGGTAATTTGACGCTATGATTTTCATTGGAAACCACTTAACTGAAGTTCTTTTTGTTTTTATGATGTTTTCACGTGAATTTTTCTTTCCTTGTAAGCCCCGTTTTCTAAGCCTTGATTTGGTGATTTCCACTTCCCCTTCTGTTTATCTTTTCCGCTTTCTTTGATGAAATTATATTTAATTTTATTGTGTGATTCGGTGAATTTGAATTTTTTTCTCTCATTTGCAATTGAGAATTTTATTTTTATCTGGTTTTTGTGTTTAGCGTTGATATCTAGGATTCCTGATCGGAACTTAGGCGATACAGTTAGAGAAAAGGTTGCCCTGAAATACTTGGACGAGTACTTGGCTTGTATTTCAGACTGCTCAGATTCCCTGGGAGATTCTTGTGCTTCGAATGAACGTGCCTTTCATCCTTCTGAGCGATGTGAAAATGTTGTTCTTCGCATATGCAAAGAGGTAAACTTTTGTTTCTGAAAAACCGTGAAAACTCATTCTTAACTGTTATGAAATGATGTTAATTCAAATTCATTTTGGGATTTTGTGGATATTAATTCGTATTTAGACATTTTTTATGCGAAGATATTGTCAAGCTTGGTTGTAATTTACAAATTATTTTCTAAAATAATCCATACTATTTGATTAATGAGGGTGAGGTATTGATAGAAGCTCTGAGGTGAGATCCTACTTGCAAGATTGGGAAAACGCGGAAATATGGGCCCAAACTAGAACATGAAACATAGACAAATGAGAAATGATATGTTGAAGGGGATAGGAAACTCCTGATTTTTTTTTGTGGACAGATGGGTTTCTCAGTAACTATGGGTGAGATTACTGATGGTTCCAAATGGTTTCGCGATTGATACTCTTCATGATATTAAACACCCCTTCTCATAAGATTAAGGTTTTGATGGAAGTGGTGAGTACTCTTCTCATATATTTCAGGTATACTTAAAGAATAATGACATCTTTTGTCGATTCTCTTGCCCATATACCCCTATAGAAAGTGGAGTTGTTGAGCTTAAACATTGACATAAAGTTGAGAGTAGCTTGGCAATGGTACGTGCTGGTGACTTTCCTCATATTCTTTAGCCATAAGCCATTTCTTCTGCAATTTACCTTTATAAATAGACTACCAAGTCCTACGCCCTTATTTGTATCTCCATTTCATAAGCTTTTTCAATTCAAGCCTGATTACTCATTTCTTATGTTTTTTGTTGTGTTTACCTTCCCCGTATTCATGTGTCTCAATGAAACAACTTCTCATCTGATGCTCATGAATGTGGTTTTGTGGGTTGTAGTGTAGATCATAAAGGTTACCTAATTATAAAGTATCATGGGGTTTCTTTATATTTCGAACACATTTCATAAAACTAGGTTTTATCTTAAAGAGGATAGTAACCATCAAATATCGTAACCAATTTTCCAACTTCTAAGAGGATATTTGTGTCGATCTGGTTTTTTGCTTTCTCACTGTCAAAAAGAATTACGATCCGAGGTTTCAGATCCTCATAAAGGAGATGAAGAGCCTCCTCAGTGCATGAAGGAACAGAAGAGCCTCTTCAGTGCGCTCTTGCAACTGTCAATTTCTCCCGATTGAAGGTATGGTCAACAATGCCTTCTAGTTTAAACTGTCAGGATCATTTACCGTCTAGTTCACCAAACTCCACTAATTCTAACAAATCTCTGATGACTAATACCTTGTTAGATAATTTAATACTTGTCCTTCACAACCAGCAGTTGAGTGTGACATTCCTTAAGCCTCTCTCTCATCATAGTAATTTTTCTGATTATAAAGTCTATTCTACGTCTACCTGTGAGGTTAACATCTCGTTAAAGACTGCAAGGTCTAGTTGCAATATAAAGAACTTTAGCTCATCTGACAAGCTTCCTCCTAATCATAGAACCTTGATTTCAGATATTTCACAAGTTCAAGAACCAACATCCCTGGAGAATGCTCTGCCCCTCTGAGGCAAGGTGGCTCACATTCATGAACGAGGGATTGAATTTCTTCGGAAAAATAAAATGTTGGTTTAGGTGCCATTGCCGCATGGGATGAACATTGTGGGTTCAAAATGGGTGTATAAGGTTAAAGTCAAGTCAAATGGCTCAATTGAGATATGAAATCCAAGCTGGTAGCCAAGGGATTCAGTCAAGAATATGGGCTTGACTGTGAAGAAACATTTCTTCTATAGGTCAATACAACCACAATTCAATATATGTTGACAATCATCTCCAAGTACAAAAGGATGCTTCATCTTCTTGATGTGGAAAGTGCATTTCTGCATGGTGAAGCAAAGGAGGAAGTAGACATGCAGCAACCTTGGGGATTTGAACATCCACCCCTGCTGATGTAGGTTGAAAGTTAAAGAGTAAAATTGTGTTTCTATTTAACCCTTACCAATTCTGAAGCATTGTTGGGAGACTTCAATACTTCATCTTTACATTTCATGGCATTGCATACACAGTTAATACAATTTGTCATTAATGAATCCCTTAGGTAGCCTCATAAGACAACTGCAAAAAGAATCTTGAGATGTCTTAAAGGAACCATACAATTTGTATTATTTTACTCTTGCTCAAATCCCTCTTGACATTAAAGCTTACTCTAATGCAGATGGGTTAGGTTGTTCCAATGAATGGCCCCCAATTACTGGTTTGTTGTTTCCTTTTGTGGAGACTTCTTAGTGCAGTAAGAAAAAAAGTGTTGTATCTATATCAAGTACAAAATCTGTTTACAGAGATGGGCGCTGCAGTTGCAGAGATTACCTGGTTTTGCATCTTTCTTGGTGTTTGAGGAATCCATTATACTTTCCCTGATAATCAAATTGCAGTGTGCCTAGCTACAAATCGAATTTTTCATGCTCGCACAAAAAATGTTGAGGTTGATTATCACGCATCAGGATAACAGTAGTATCTAGAGACATTTTGTTGATATCTGTTTCTTCTCTTAGTCAACTGGTGAAGCTATTCACTCTAGCATTACTTAAGCGGTGGTGATTGTATTCCCTCTAGCATTACTTAAGTGGGGAGACCTTGAGCTACTTGACAACTTATTGATACATAGGCATGCTTAGCTTAAGAGGGGGTGATGTTAGAGAAAACAGGTCATTCTTTATTTTTTGTGTATGTGTGTAGATGTAGTATCTACATGTGTAGACACACCCCCAACGGAATTGTATTCATTGAATTAGAAGGTAGAGATTTTTTGCTATCCCATGTTTCATAAAAGCCCATTGCTTTATGCATCTTTCCTGATACGTAATCCTTATGCAAAATTTAGTGTCCTAGCTGTTGTACCTGGGAATTGATGTTGAGAAAGAAATTTAGGGATCTTTACTATAGCCTTTCTCATCCTGTATAGATTCACACAGGGGCAGGTAACTGTGACTTGGGATACAGGGCATCTTGGAGGAACAAATACTTGGTAATTGTTGGTTTGTTTATTCTTTGTTCTAATCAAAATTGTGTATTTGAAGTTCTATAGGGGAGAGTAAAATCCATAAATGTGTTATGTTTATACTTTACAGCCTTTTTTCCACTTACTCATATGGCCTATTACAACGAAATTAGAATAGTTGGGATAAGCCTCGGATGATGATGATAATGATGATATGACTCCTATGAACAATGATTGAGTTTGTGGTGTTGGGTTTATCCATCAGCTTATATTATTAGATATAGATCAGTTTTTGAACATCTTTGATCTTCGATGTCAATGCACCATAATAAGCCTTAGACTTGTCTACATGGCCTCCTATGCTAGTTTGAACTGGTAGAATGCTATGATTATATTGATGACAACATATTGAGATGCTACTACTTAGTATTTATTTATTTCTTATGATGAACTGAAGCTTTGGGTGTCACTGTACCAGTTTGAGATAGTTGTCTTAAACATTCCCTCGATTTCTTTGCTCGAAAATCAGCACATCTATTCATGGTGCTTTAGGCCTTTACCTAATGGGAGAGTATACTGGACACTGGGTGTATAGTATTTTAGAGCATTTCCACTGTCCATTCCAACGATGGGGGGATGAAGATAAACCAAATTTTGTCTGCCTAAAGTCAACTCTCTAAGTGCAAGAACAGTTCTAGCCTAAGGTAAGAAATAGCTCCCGAACATCACCACAGAGTTATATAATCAACACAAGAAGTACTTTTGTTGTTCAACAATAAGATGTCACACAAAAAAGGAACAATCAAACTATCTCCATGAGAAATCAGTTGCTATGATGGTTTATTGAAACTTGTTAAAACAGGTTCTATGGTCCTCTATAATGCATATGTAAGTATGAAAGCTATGAAGAAAGAAAATCCACTACGAAATCCATAAGTAAATTGGAACCCTAGCACAGAACCCATGAGTAAAGTCTAAAGATAAGGAAAATTTTCAAATTTTAAATTGTCAAATTTTAACTGATGGGACGACTTTACTAAAGCGGAAATGAGTGAGAGATTAGCGAGCTCATGTAAACCACACAAATGATAGAAGATATATAAGGAAAAGAAAACGATATTCAAAAACAGGACCAACATATCTCAGTTCATGTGAATCGATAACAGAGAGATCAAGTCACACTCATAATTTTGCATAATCCAAAGCTAAGGCAAATTTAGAACTGAAGCAACAAGATTTAAGAAGTTTACTGCAAAAAGTATGATTGGTTCTGAAAAAGTGCTGTCTGCAATTTGGGAAATCATGAAACTGCCCTGAAACTTCTACGAAAATCATAAATTATCGTCTGTTGCCCAGTTTTGGAAAAATAGAAGATCCTCTCCTTGAATGGGTTCTTCTTTCATTGCTATAACATAATATTGATGTACAGTAATGTAATCTTGTACCATGTTCATTTTATTGCTAGAAAAATAATCTTAAACCTTAAGGATGATGGTTTTGTTCAGTAATTATCTGATCGTTTCACATACAAGGATTATGTATATACATCTATTTCTTTCTTTGAGCTTTGTGGTTGAAGGACAACGTGAATTTACATCTCCACCCAAATTTTGTCTGCGTATATTCGACTCTCTAAGTGAAGAACAGTTCATCTCCACAGGCCATTATTCAGATGGACAATGGAGATGAACGATATCACAAACATTACATGCATAGTACATAGTATGATTTTCGTTAAAGTTTTTTCCATAATCATTTGTTTACATGCAATTTTCCCAGTATAGTTCTTGTTGTTTCACCTCTTGAGGAAAATGCTTAAGCTAGACTTTAGTGGGGCATTTGATTTCTTGAAACAGTTGGGAACATTGGAAAAACATGGTGCAGAATTATTGAAACGTGATCTAGCGCAATTTATTCACGAAAAGAGAGCTTGTCTTCCAAAATCTGGTCTTGATCGGGTAAGGAGAGTTGGTTATTGCGTCCAATTTGAGCAAAAGTATTGAAACAACCATGTTGTTGGCTGAGAAAATTTTCTTATCATGCATGCATATATCATACTGCTTTGGTGTTTGTGTGTCAGCTGAAGGACACTGTTCTCAAAGGCCATCATCCAGCTAGCTCATCCCTGCAAAAAAGATGTGGTTTAGTCAATGAGGATCATTTACATCGTTCAAACGTCATCATTGGTGAAGGTAACTTTCTTAGGGGAATTATGGTATAGTAAAAATGGATCTAGGTATACCCATAGTCCATTGTGTCATCATTGCCAATTGAAATGATGGATGGTGATGGAGAGAGTGTGGGACTCGCCATTTAGGTCAAGTCTCTTTCTGGTATGCCCTACTCTCTTTCCATCACTATCCATCATTACAATGAACCGTGATGATCCACTGTGCCTCAGCTCATCTCTGATTATAGCAGAATTTATTTTGGATATTTGGCGATAATATTGAGATACTAAAACATATTCTTTTTGCATCAGCTCTTGAAAGTCGAGGCGAAATGGGTGATGAAGATCATCAAGATGAGCCTCTAAATCTTAGAGAGCAGGCTTCTAGCCCATGTTTGAAGGAAGCCATAGATAGCGATCGTGTCGTCAATTTATCTAGCAGCTTTGCTAATGACTTTGAAGCGGAAATTCCTGAGTTCAGTGAACACTTGGGGCCCACCCTTATCAATGGAGGTTCTAAACCAGAAACCTGCAAGCCCCATGAACGAATTGGACCCAACCATGTCAATGGGAATTCTGATAAGTTCATGGAACACAAGGGAACCAACCCTGAACAAGAAACCCACAAGGCCGATGAAGACCTCGAACTCAACCATGCCAATGGGGATTCTGAACCAGTAACCCATAAAACTGATGAACAAATGCCATTAACCTGTGTTCACGAGGATTTTAGCTATCGGAATCCAGTTGATCTACTTTCTTTGGGAACTGATTTCAGTGAACAAAGATCCTGTTTGAAATGTAGTGAGGGTGGTGACATGTTGGTTTGTGGTGATTGCTCGGTACCGGTACACGAGAAGTGTTTGGGCACATCTGTTGATATCAATTGTGAAGGGATTTTTTACTGCCCGCATTGCTCATACAGACGAGCTACATCTGCATATAAAGAAGCAAGGGAAAATGCTAAAAAAGCCAAGGAAAAGGTGACCCATGCTAGAAGTGCTTTAGCTGCTTATATGGGAAATCAGAAACCTCCTGTTGGGCTTTCAATGAAAGAAACTCAAGCAAGTGTCGAAGCTCGTATTGGTTACTCTAAGAAGGGTTATGAAGGTTCTCTAATGGCTCTAAATCACACAAGTAATGAGAATTTAAGAGTAGCAGCTGATGCTGATTCCACTGAGAAGAGTCATGAAGGTTCTTTTATCGCACCAAAAAACAGGAGTAATGTTGAAAAGTTGCCTTGTGAAGGAGCTGAACGATCGCACTCTGATGATGGGCGCGATGTTCTCCCTAAAAATGGTGAAGGGGATATAGTAGGTGTTCTTAATAAAAATGGGGACAGCAGTGTAGTTGGTGTACCACGTGAAAGTGATGAAATGGATGTTAATGAATGTGGTGTTTCCTTTAAAAAGGGCGAAAGAGAGGCAGATATTGTATATGTTCCCCCTCAAAATGGGGAGAATGATGCAAATGTAGATGGTGTTTCCCCAAAAACTATCGAAAGGGATGAAGATGTAATTGATAGCCCCCCTAGAGATGGCGAAAGGGATGACGATTGTGTGCCTATCCCTCTTGGTCAGCAGGAGCCTCATGTCCAACCTGATAAAGAACCCAGACCAATCAAGAAAAGAAAACGCAAAATGTCCCCCAAAAGTCATGCGGAAAATGAAGATCAAGAGCCGCAATCTGGTGGCTCGGGCAAACGTGTTTTGAAACAGCGTAGTCCTCCCAAGCGTTAGTAAGTTGTCAATACCCGTGACTCATGAAAACATGGATATCTCTCTCTCTTTCTCCCTCTCTCTCTCTCTCTCTCACACACACACACACAGAGGATGCTTCACTGCGTTTCAGAGTTTTATAGTGATTTCCATATTTGAGCAACATAGAGTCTGAATCAAGCTGGTGCTGATCTACAAAGATTGCTGTCTAGTGAACCCAAGGTCATAAAAGCAGTCCAAAAACCAAAATAGCATGTCAAACCTGCTCCATATAGCAATCAAGACTCATAAAGAACGATTTGGGCATCTTCTTAATTCTGATCATGCTTAGAGACAATACCAGGACCATTTCTTCCAAATTCTGACTAGTTGTGACTATTACCTTCCTGGTGGGTAAATTGGATTGTAGGAAGGAAAACAGCATATTTTTTGTGCGATAGCAGCACTTTTTGGTGTGTAAATTGGATTTTAGAAAGCAAATCAGCAGAGTTTTTATGCCATATAAGCCCTCTGGAAAGCCAAGTTTGTTCTTAGCCAAAACAATTAATCCTATCTGTTTTTATAGTTTTTTAGATTTTTCCCCTCGTTCTTAGTGTTTCCATTATCGTTTTCGCTAATAACTCCTGAAAAGGGCAAAGCTTTTGAAAATCTCGTAAGATACCACCCCATCATAAATTCTTAAAACCAAGATATGTTCCCATTTCTCAGTACTGGATATCTTAATTCTGGTTATGAACTTTCTGTTTTTCTGCTGGTTTGCAGCACGGAACGCATTTTCCCTTATATAAGGCGTAATAAACTTCCTTGGACTGCAGAGGAGGAAGAAGTTTTGGAGGTATGTAAAACCATAAGTCGTGAATTGCTTTCTCATTTGGAGTGGCTTTTTATGAAATGTATTAATTTTTTTAAGTGCTTTCAATAATAGAGGTTGGTTGCTTATTTCCACAATTCACGGCTGGAGGATTCAAAATTCTCACACTGAAAGAGAAAGGGGGTGGGGTGGGCACTATCCGTAGTATATGGATTTGGAATCTTTAGCTGAGAGAGAGAGAGAGAGTGATAGAAAGCGATTAGGTAACACTCCTTACAGTGTTCAGGATTGAGAGAGAGAGATTAGGTAACACTCCTTACAATGCTTAGGATTTGGACTCTTTAGCAGTGTTTACAAATGTGGATTCAGAATCATACTAGCCTTGGTCTTAAAGCCCATATAGTCAGAAAATCAGCTGAGTCTGAGGCCCAACTTGGTCAAATTTCTAGGAAAATAACAAGAGAGACCTTAGGCTTGGGAGACTCGCCCAATTTTTGGGCGACTCCCTATGGAATCACTAGGTCCCGATCCAGCTGACTCTAGCAATCCTGAGTCAATTCAGCAAGTTATAATTTACTGGTATTTAGCTTGGATTATTTTAATTAGTTATGGGGTTTTAAGCTGCATAAAATATGTTTATTGTAGAATATACTGCTCTTTGGTGATGATGAAAAGATTACGAGATATCTATACTATATATTAATTTGAAGTTAAAAGGGTAGACACGTCACAAGAATAAAAGGGGGGCACCTTATCTCTAGAGCGAATGGTGTAGAGAGCACTAGGATATGGAAATCTAACAAATACCATATTTTTGGGATTTAGATAATTAGAGTATAGAGATTTAAGAGAAATCCTAAGTTTTGGGGTTTTACGTAAATTTCAATATTCAAAAGAAATTTCCTAACTTTGAAATAAATGCAGCTAAGGATATGATATGTATCCTTACCAAGCTCTCTCAAAAATATGTTAGAGAAATCCCTGTGGTCATACAATTGTTCCTTCATTAAGGAACCATTATTATGCATGTTATATAAACATTCCACTTAAACTAATACTATTTGAAAAAATCATCTCCCTTATGTTTATATTATGCTTAAATTATATGATTAAATACAAATAGTCATGCATATTCGTATGGATATATTAAGTCATATATTTAACATGAGGATATGATATTAACTTAATATGATTTAATTAAATAACAGCATTGTAAACTATGCGATAAGATTATTAACTTCTAGTGCAAGGAGGACATCGTTCATCGATGGTTATTAGATTTGAAATTAAGCAGTGTACCGTTGCTCAAAATTCAAAAAAAAAAAGAAAAAATCATTCAAATTTTGTGACACATCCCAAGCTATCGGATCTGACATTTGATAGCTAAAAGTGATTGTGACCTCCTTGTGCTAAAAGGCTAATAGTCTTATAGTATACAATCCCTCATGGTATTCGTATAGTATATAGTACATTGTAAGTATTAATATAAGGCGCTAATTATTAATAACTGAAAATGGAGAACTAGCATCATTACTTTATCGATAAACATATACACATTATAATAATATATAATAAGTATATTAATAGTCTTTGATCTACTAGATACTAGATAGTACATTAATGCATTTAGAAACTATTATAGTGCTTACTATAATATGTATATCAATGAATACTTATCATATTCACAGTATGTTGTTGAACAACATAAAAGCATAACTTTATTTTACGTAATATGATATTCTCATTTGGAGTTTACTATAGTATGTTTAAGTTTTACCATAAACCATTTCTATATATTTATATCTAAATTAATTAAAACCCTATTTATTAAGAATCTAATGATAATTACTAATATTCTTAAATATAATAGTTAATAATTGTTTCCCATGATTATCAATATAATTAATTCAGTATTACTAATGGAATATTAGTGACTGATTAATAATATAAAAAATCTCAAATAAATATTACGATGTATGATTATAGAATTGTTATAAGCATGATTATTATGATTAATGATAGTATTATTATATTAAGCATATTTATTAGTAATATTTGATGAGTATTGTTTATGTTGACTTGACTATGAGGATAGAAACTTATTTTATTTATTTAATATTTTTGAAGAAATCATCGTTGTAAATACAATGTTTTATGGTTTAAATAGCTGTGGCTTTAAAATAGTTTACGACTAAGTTTTGGTTTTTAACTAAGAGTTTTCTATTATTAATTGAAATTTGTATTTACTATATTTTCATTAAATATAAAGTTGGTTTAATAATATTTGATATTTTGAAATATTGAATTATTGTTTGTTTTTATAATAGATTTTAAAATAAGGTAATGTTTATTATGTAACTTCATGTTGCGAAAATATTTTTCTGGCCAATTTTCGAATTTCTTATTATTTGTCTATCTCATTACATATTGACATGCAACACACATAAATCCACAAGTGATTACAGAGTCCTTAATGATGCAGGAGGGGGTAAACAAATTTGCAGAGGTTGGGGCAAAGTGCATTCCATGGAGAAGGATCTTAGATTTTGGTAGGCATACATTTGACAAGACTCGAACGCCTGTGGATCTCAAGGATAAATGGAGGAATATAATGAAAAGGAGGTAGAAGAATCAGCTTTTAGAAGGCTAAGCTAAAGTTGATTAGTGACTTTGACATCAATGTTAGTTTATTTAGCTTCTTCCACTAACAATGTTGTAAGCAGCTATGTAAATTTAACCTTGCGTAGTATATAGAGTGATCCTAGCTGTATATATATCAAGGTGGATAGTCTGAATATTTGCCTGACTGGGGCTTTCAGTTAAAAAGTCTGTATAATTTGAGTTCAAATAGTGAATGTGATTCAAATGCTTTGGCATGGCCTCTCTCTCTCTCTCTCTCTCTCTCTCTTCTCTCTCTCTCTCTCGTCTCTCTCTCTACGCTCGATC